GCTGTAAACGGAGGAAAAGGTGTTACAAAATAATGCAAATATATAAGAAATAACTATTAAAAAAAAATGATACAAAAGGCTAATTATAACGTTTTTGGATAACTTTTTTTAATATTTTGTATGATTGGTAATTATAAAGACGTCATATCTTGTACTACAATGTTATCACCACACCAATCGTCGTCTTACATATTACAATAACATCATACTAGTGTACTACGCGTATCATTGCGTTCATGAAATTTTTTCTCTAATATTAAAACCATATAAAATGAGGTCGGCGTTTTAATTTGGCCAGAGAAAAAGTATCTTAAAAAGCTAAGATCCATTTACAAGACAAGAAGACACAAACCCAAAAGTAGGAGATTTTGCCTCTCTTACCACTAATTTTAACAAAACAACAAAACAAAAAAACAAAACAAAAAAATTACCAAATATAAAAAAACCTAATTTCACATGAACGTTATAAGATTCAATATTATTATCAAACAAAACATTAAAATTCTCTAGGGTCCACAAAAATCGAAACTCCAGGTGGCGATTTAGTCCAATCACCAACAACACCATCACTAAAATCTTCTCCAAGCCGTTTAATACACCAAAGATCCTCGGCGCACGATAGCACTTTCCAGTGAGGTATTCCTCGCCGTAACGGCTCTTCTCCGGCGACTTCCGCCGCCACAACGCCGCAACCGCCGTCTTTCGCGATATTATGCGCGTGAGCACAAAGCGATTTAACCATCTTCGCCGCGCGTGGGCCTTCTCCTCCGATTCCGTACATGAAGCAAAGCCCAAACGGTTTAAAAACCGAAGGAATCGAAGGTAATTTCAAAAACGGCAGCGTTTTATCGACCACGCGCGTCGTTTTAGCCACCACGCGCCTTAACCTCGACGCGCCACGAACCTCTAACCGAAACGAGTCTTTGCAATTCCACACGCTCAAAACCGCCCATGACTCGGGTGGGTATTCGAGGAACTTAGACGAACCGGGCCATGATCCAGACCCGGATCCGTAACAGCTTCCACGTGGCACAGCTACGAAAGTCCCGAGGGAGAGTTTGTTATTGAGCACCGAATCGATATCACGCGGGAAAAACTCGGTCGTGCTAAACCGGAGCCGGTATAAGGACTCCGCATCGACCGGGTCTAATTTGATGATCGTTACACGGTTCGAGACGTTGACTCGGTGTGCGTAAACCGGGTTGACCAAAATCGACGGTGTACGGAACTCGGAATAACCGCATTTACCGGTGAATAGATTAACCGAAGCTTGATTGTCGTTTTCCGTTGCTATATACGAATATTCGGCGCCGTTTTGACTAAACCATTCTTCCATCATCTTAACCAGTTTAAACCCAATCCCTTGTCTCCTGCAAAAAACCAAAATTTTAAATGAAATTAGTTTAATCAAAAAAACCGTTTAATTAAAAATTGATTAGTGGGGAATATATACAGTACCTGTGAGAAGGAGAGACACGAAGGCCTAAAACGTAAGCGAGTTTAGTGTAGAGAGGCTTATAAACGGTGTCGTTTTGATTTAAATCGATTTTTTTGCCACACGTAACGGTTTTGATACATCCTCTAATCATGCCCACTATCTCCTTCTTCTCCGTACCCATCTCAGCCACCTGTTACAAACAAATATCCGTTATTGAAATTTGGTTTTTTTTATTAAACCGTTTTAAATAAAAGTTTTATAACTTTTTTAGTTAGTCTTTTGATCTTATCAAGAGTCGGA